AATCGGTTAGGCCAAGGTAATGTTCAGAAAATGGGAAAACGCTAATTGAAAACTTGGACAGTGCCTTCAAATTCAAGACTAGGCATAGTGAGTATCCATTGCGTTCGGGAACGCTGCGGAGATGTATCCCACACTTAATATAGCTAGCAATCAAACTATAAAGTTACCGGAGGATTCCACGCTGTATCTTTAGCGTGATATAAAGGCAGATTTAAGTGGCTTCTAAAGTAATAACAATCTCTAGGTTTATAGCTATTTTTCACGTAAGCGTCTTGAGTTATCTATAGTAATGTTCCGTTCAATTAAACTGCATTCTATCAAGTTTTGCATGTGAAAACAACTGCGCGACACAAGTACTATGGGTGCACTCTCTTTTAGAGGCCAGCTCGGTTATCAAGTTATCGCCCCGATTCTCTTAGTTATCTTGTTTGCTTACTATGCGAACTTTTATTCTTAAATTATGGACAAAACGTGAAAGGCTTTTTATGAAAAAAATTTATTTATTAAGGTGTATCTCATGCAGTCTAAATGAAATCGACTCTACCTTTTGCCCTAATTGTCTGGAGAACATACCTGCTGGAGAGGCTCGCGTGAAAAGAAATAGATGTGTTAACTGTAATCAATGTCCAATTTGTTGTAAGCCCCTTTCTCTTCTTATTGATCAGCTTTTCGTTGACGTTGCTTCCCTACTGTGTTGAGTCGTTTACTTAAGCAATGGTTCTTACAACAAGAGCAGTTGGTGAAACCTGCCATTTGATGTGCTCTACATGCAGATGGTCAACGCGAGATTCTGATACACCAGATCAACCGTCTAGCATCAACTGGCCTGTGCAAGTTTTGTTTCATAGCTCCACTTTTGAGTGCAGAGATGTTTTAAACACCGGAATTGTTCCGTTGTTAGCTTTCTTTTTGCACATCTCGCATTACTTGGACGATTTGTGTATCTGTGTAGTTCATTAGCCGTGGTTTCTAAAAACGATAAGGAATCAATCTGCAAGAAATTGAGATTCTAAAGAGGTCTATTAACAACCAATACCTACGCGAATTTGAGCCAGGTTCCGTGTGGATACGTCGACGGACCCTATTTTGAGATGAAGAACGAATGACTTATTGGACTTAAAGTCAAAAATAAGCTTCAAAAAGTTCCATGCTTTTATTCCTTTACAATGAACAATCATGAAGATTATGTTTACGATTTTAGGCACGAAACCACCCTAGACAAGGAATTGAATGAAGCCTTGGAGAGAATGCGAGTTCTCGCGGCTGCTGAAAAAGCTCAACGTGATCAAGTGAAATTGAATAAAAGGTTGATGATACAGTTCTAGGTTTTTGGCGATATTTAGTTCATTTTGATTTCAGACGCTCGCACAATGTTGGTAGTCTTCTCACAGATCGATATGGCTTACAAGCAATTTATCAGAAACGCAAAAAGACATTTGAGAAACCTGTGTCTCAAACTCCTCTTCATCTCCCTTCAGAAGAGGTCTTACTTGGAACGAAAGTTTTTAAAAATTCTTATCATTCACAAACTTTACTCATTTAAATATCAACCATCGATAAATTTTGTAACTTAGAAAATTTGAAGCCATTTTTAGCAAAAGTTGAACTTAAAAATGTCATTAAGAGCCTTGAATGGTATAATCGACCAGTGCTAGTAGCTGGGTGGGATCTCACTCCAGCCTCATTCTCAGACGTCTGCATCGCAAAGTGTAAAAGCGTGTTGCTAAAAAGCGATAAACATTGTTTCAGTCCATTTCTTTTTTGATGAAGCGCGTCGGCTAACCGCAGTTATGCAGCAAGAATTCGACTCCAAAACCCTCACACAGGCCATACTGGAATGTAGTGGCAATCCTATTAGAAGGAAGTACATCTTTTCGGTAGGATTGGTTTTCGGTTCTTTCGGTGGTGCTGCGCCAAATGGCTCATTTAGCGCTGTGCTTAATGCTTACAGAAGACCTAATTCTATCTCCAGTGACGATGTTCTTGAGAAGTTTATAAGATATTCCTAATAGACAACGACCCGCAGAGCAGACTAGCTTATTGCCAACGAATTGCCTATCTTCATAACTATTATTTGCGTTGCTCTTATATATCTCAGGGTTGAAGGATTTGAGAAGGATCTACCATACGCTAATAGTTTTGATAACGGCACTTCAGAAAACAAATATAATCACTACAAGCCTTTATTCTAACCTATTATCAGTTTGATTGACATAATCTTCAGCACTTATAATAAACAAATCTATTGTAGGTTCCTGAATTGAATTTGGCTGATTATCTCGAGGATGCAGCTGAAATAATTCCTCCTTCATTAGAATCGCACCTTCGCCAGCCACTGGCTTGTGGTCGTCCACTTCGTCCTGTTAGGATGCCATTAAAAGCGAGAAGAGCTGTTAGGTACGTGAATCATATTTTATGCAGGTTCGCATTTTTTCGCAAAAGACTTCGAGTCATTCTTCAAGTATGTGGTGGAGTATATAGTTTTGATTTCTGAGCAAAGGTTTAGGAATCCATTATTTTCCTAAGTTCTCAATTGATCTATATGCACAATTTTTGTAACAATCCTTGTTTCGAAATATAGAATCTTCAAGAGAATGCACTGAGTCAAAAGAAGAAAGGGGGCTTTTGATCGAACAAAACTGCACCACTTCCCTTTGCGTCATAAAATGCATAGCAGAATATATTAGCTATAAGCTTTGATGGAAATACAGCAAACAATTTTCTATTTTGAGCGATATCATTGAGAACCTTTACGTGAATTCAAAACAGTTAAACTTCGGCTTGTATCCTGCGTTGAAGCCTTTGAGTTTAACGGACTTTCCTCTATTACAATTCTGTCACAGGTGTAAGCATTGCGATCACAACCTGGTCAAACTCGAATACGGCACTTCTACTATTCGTTACAAAATTCAAGTATGTATTTATATATTTTCTTCAAGCTCCATTGACGATCTTTATTGAGTACTTTGCACGCAATTTCGTCCCGGAAATCCGATTGTCGCGGGAGGTGGAGTTGGGAGAGAATCAAACTGGACCAGTTTTTTTAACAATTGCAAATGAGAGCAATTCCAAAGCGGAAGTACGCAAGCATCGTTTTGTGTCATACAGCATAAGTTACCATTAGATCCTTACTTCTGTACTTTAGGTCATCTTAATGGCCGATAATCAAGATGACACTATAGAGTGCCTCACACCTGTCGTTGAACTCAGCCTTCCTTCTGCAGATGAGAGTGCGGATGTTTATGATATTGATAGTGAAAAACGCAGTTCATATGAGTCGTAAGCGTGTTCTTCTAACCTCTGTGGTAGCAACATCTCATCTTTTCTGAACAATACTTTCAGAGCCGGTGCTGTAGTATTTCGGAGAAGACATCGTGCCGGAATTCGCATAGAAGTTAAGAATGAGGACCCTAAGCCAAAAGAAATACTCTCGCTTCTAGTCAAATATAAAAACGAACAGTGTTCAATGAACGTCAATGTGGAGCCTGAGTGGAGATTAGCTCGTGTTAGAATCGCACTTGCTCCTCCTTGCTAAATTGGGCCATTATCTTTCTTCTATTTAAATCGCTAATAAATATTTTTGCTCGCTTTT